TGCTCCTAAATTAGAGATGCAACATACACATATTTGGTATTTAGCCTATACCTACTGCTGAAAGCAGAATATTCATTTCGGTAGAATAATGGAAGAATCGTCTGCCGAAGACAAAACTTAATTCGTTTACATCCATCTTTCTTGTTTTCTGCCCTGGGAAAAGTTTAATCGATTAACAAAATAATAATGAAGATAAACAAATTTGTGAAAGGTCCGATTAAAAGTCAAAATATTTTGTGAAGGGTCCGTTAACGAACCCAAATTTCTTCTAAACGGACCCCTGATAATGTATTAAAAAAGTCATCATAGTAATTAAATTTCTCAAAATAATATTTAAAAAACGGAACCTATCACAATACCGCAAAAGCCTGTAATCTTTATTTTTTTTATTTCTTGTTCAATGCGTGTTTTGTCATTACAGATTAGAAATAAGTTTAGAGACAGTTTAAAAGAAGGCGGTGTTTAAAAATAAATGGCTCTGTTCGAGAAAAGGAATAGATGCTTACATTAAGCACAATAAAGAAATTTGAGGAAAAAATATTTAAAAAAGGATTTGAAAATAATATTAAGGTTTTTCTAACATTTAGGAACACAGTGTATCGGCCAAAATGCCATATAAATAATAATGATTGGTGTAATAAATTCATCGAGTAAAAAAAATGCTTACGAGATAAACACATAAAACCTACCTTTTGTGGGCCAACCAAATTAACTTTTACGCTTTCTCCTTTCTTTACTATCAACTTAATGTTTCGTTTTTAGAAAACGATAAATTTTATCTTAGAGACACATAAGATATGATAATTCAAATGCGTTAAAGTAGAATTGCAAACGTAGGTTTCTATTGTTTAAATTTCAATGAAGAAAAAAAAATCTTTATTAATCTCTTATGGAAATATTATCAGGTTCCATTTTAAATATATCAGTTTTTTCTTCTTCAAAAATAAAATTTGATAAAATTATGATACTACTATTGGAATGAACCTTAAATAAATCATAAACTTATGTAATGGAAAAATCATAAAAATTAAGTAGAATATCATTAAAATTATAGAAACTAATACAATTTGGGAAAATGGAAATAATGACAACTTAGCACAACTAAGAAGTTTTTAAAATCTTACCGGACATTTACTTTTATTTCTTTGATTGATTATTAGAGCATGATTTATAGATAACATTGAAACATTTTCTTTGAATTATAAATGAGTAATTGAAATTTCAATGGCCATATTGCCAAACATAAAGTATTACTCATCTTGCCAACATAGCAAATAAAATCTAAACTGAAACTGAAAAAGGGAAGAAAAAAATAACAAAACAAAATCTTTCTTGATTAACAGTACTAGTGGCGCCATCTTTTATGAAATTATGAAAAAAGTCAAAACAACTATCATAATTTATTTTTGAAGCAAAACAAGTTGATTATAATCATCAGCGAATTTATAAATTAAAATTTAGTTGTTACAAACTTTTTGACTTATCTAAATGCATAAGAACTGATCTAAAGCTTTTCTAAATAAAAAGTTTTTTTTTAAAAAAAAAAGGTGATGAAATTATTATAATTGTTTTATAATTTATTTAAAATAGTTAAAATAAACTAAAACATAATCATCAGTAAATTTATAAATAAAAATTTCAATGTTTATAAAATTTTCGACTTATTTAAATGCATAAAAGCTTATCTAAAGTCTTTCTAAATAAAAAAGTTTTTTTAAGAAATAAAATAAAATGTGATAGTACTATAATAATACAATTACTATATATTTAAAAAAAAGTTTTGAAGAAAAATGAATTAAACATAATCGTCAGCGAATTAATAAATTAAAAATTAGTTTTTCAAAATTTTCGACTTTTCTAAGAGCATAAAAACTTATCTATAGCCATTCTAAATGAATCAGTTTTTTAAAAAATGAAATGTGATTATATTAAAAAAATTGTATTACAATACATTTAAAATAGTTTTTGAAGAAAAATGAATTAAACATAATCATCAACGATTTAATAAATTACAAATTAGTTGTTTCAAAATTTTAAACTTATCTAAAAACATAAAAACAATGCCATTCTAAGTAAACGAATTTTTAAAAAAATAAATGAATAAAAGGTGATAAAATTATTAAAATATTATTATAATATACATATCATTATTTTTGAAGCGAAATAAATTTAACATAATCAATCATCGGCAAATTTATGAACTAAAAATTAGTTGATTTAAAATTTTCCACTAATCTAAAAGCATGAGAATAAATAAATAAAAACAGTGAACTTTGGAATAAAAGGAAATATACAATCACTATGAAAAGAATATAAATAATTGAACTAAGTTTCGATCTTCGTGATTCATAATTGAAATGCAAATTAAATAGGGTTTAATTATTTTAACTACAAAATTAGACGCTATATTGCGTTCTACAAATGCATAAATTTGTATTTTTAGTTTGTTAAAATTTATTTTAAACTCCAGGAATTTATCTTAAATTCTGTGATACAAAGGTTAATAAACGTTACAAAGGTTAATAAATGTTAAATAAATTTTTCTTAAATTTATAATTAAAAAATATAAACTTATAATTAAAAAATATTAAGTTTAAAAAAATTAAAAGCATTTTTTTTCAGTAACAGTTTTTTAAATGCGTACGAAAAGAAATCACTCTTTAATTTAGAAAAATATTAAAGAATATTACTATTAATTAAAAATATTACTTTTGACATAATTCACTTTACTTGTAAGAAGGGAAAAAATAAAATGACCACAAACATTTAAAAAAAAAGTTCTACTGTATATTATATACTGTTCTTTTGTAAAAAAAAAAAAAGAAGAAATTATTATTAAAATTATTTATTTTTTATTAAGTTCCATGATTCTGCTTATTTGAGCTTTCCGTTTATTCAGTTATTTTCCGTATATAAATACAGCTGTGATAAAGTTATGATATACAATAATGTAATTTGTAAATATGATTTTAATTAATGGTTATTGGTTCATATCTAATAGATATACGGGGATTCGAGTCCCAGCGTTGACACCGCAAAATTTCCCCCATTCAACACATGAAGAGTTTTTAGTGTCCTGCACTCTCCGATTTGTGACTCTGGACTATTAGAATACGATACTCTCATAGATGTCAGTACCATAAGGCGGAATAACTCAAAAAGTCTAGTATTTCCCATTTTTTACGAAAGGTGAAACAACCAAATAAACCACATTCCACAGTTCATTTGATAAAACACAACTCAACTATAACCGAAAGAAAAGCCTAGCTCCAATGTCCAGTTAAATTTCGTTTTTACGGTTTTGAAACCATGCTAGTTGTAAATGGTTACAAAATCGTATAGTTTTGTATTCATGGTTTTTTAACCATGCGAGTTGCACACGATTTCAAAACCGTAAGGGTAAAACAAAGTTTTTACCGTAGACTTTACGGTTAATTGGATGGACAGACTGCTGCAGGTTGTTTTACCGTAAATTTAGAAGGAAAATTCTAACAGTGTACGATAATTCAAATGTGTTTAAGTATAATCGCAAAGGTAGGTTTGCTTAAATTTCATTTAAGAAATGTTTTATTTCTTAAGAGAATATTATTAGATAGAGAAAAACGATTTAGTTCAGTTATGAGAATTTATAACTAAAATTTTCTTCTAAACTTGTTAATAAAAGAAAAACCTTAGCAACCAGAAATGTAAGTTTTTGTAACAAAAGCCGTCCTTGAATAGAAAAACTGGCAGAGAATAAAGTTGATTTAAAATTCGACGTTAATTTTTGCAACACTGTTATGAATTTGATTTTAATTTTCATGTCAAAAGCTACTTTTTTATTTAAGTTTTGGACCACCTTTTATAATATTGCGTGTGTTTTAAAGGTAAATTTATAAATTATACTTACATTTAAGATGATTTTTTCACAAATTTAGACATTTCATAATTTTAACCACTAAAAACTCAATTTTAATTAGTAATTCTAAAAACACTTCAAAACATAATCCGAACCGGTTCTTCAGTTGCGTTACTTTTATTTCGATTTCTTCTTTTTTATACTTATAAATTCGTTATTATTTCTTTTACGAGGTAATAAAGGCCACTATACTATATCCACAAAGTTGAGTATTTTTTATTTTATTTTGGTGGGGCTATGTATGGTATTCAAGTATGGCTCAAATTCCTAGACCAAACTAGGAATTTGAGGACCCTGAGAGGCACTATAATAAGGGCCCTTTAAAATTGAATAATTTTCAATTGTACGGTAACTTTAGTAACTCTCTCTTGTTTAACTCTTTATTCGTTTATTATTCTGTAGCTTGATTTACATAATTCATTAAAAATTTTCAACGAGCTAAATATAATAATTAAATTTTAAACACCTTTTTTTAATAGACCTAGTAAATGTCCCATTCCAGATTTGTAGAATTTATTAAATTCAAATTATGGGATTTTTGTTATTCATAATATTGTTATACATAAAATAGAAACAAGGTCACTTTTTTCTTAAAAAAATTTATGTTTAAGGACCGAAAAAAGAGGTTAATTTACCGACTAAGTGATCAATTTCTCTTTTATCCAATTTGCTTTGCTTCTTTCAAAAATAAAATAAAACATTTTAAATTTTGTATTTCTTTTCAGTTCTAGTATTTTTTCTTCATTCCGTTAACTTTTTAATTACCACAGTTTTTTTGGTATATGGTCGTAACTAGAAAATTACAAAGAAAAAAAAAAATCAAGGGTGAAACTTTTAAATCTTATTTCATCTATAGATTGTTATGTATACAGTTATTACATTACTCATATTTTTCAATTCGTCAAATAAAAGTTAATGTTGTGACAATACCAAATTTAATAACTCATTTAATAATAAAAATTTTTTAGAAAGTTTTTCCATAAAGCACACTTTTCTAATTCGATTTTTAATAAGGACAGTTTCAACATAAAGAAGCAAATACGTTATTAAACGCAATTCAAATAATAATAAATAAATAAACAAATAAAAGATATATACTTACTTTTTGACTATGTCACTAATCATTTTTCAAGCGGCAGTATCTCAGAAACCATTTTATTTACTAGCAGATGAGCGCGAAAGCCACAACAAATATTAAAATGAAAAACGGCGTTGCTATGTCATTTAAAAACAAAACAACTCACTTCAAATACAAAACCTATTTAGAATAATACATGTTTTATTGCTCATAAGCAAGATCAGGTTGTTGTTTACATAATTCCGCAATACATCCGAAATTAAATGATTAAATAGAAAACTTATTGCCGACATAAGAGAACAGGTAAATTGATATCACACAAGATATAAACAAGGAACTATGATCGACTATTTTGGGAACAGAGATTTAGGTCAATCACAGATAAATAAAACTGTGTTCATATAAAGACCTTGATTGAATGATGGTCCAACTATTTTTTTTGTTTTGTTCCTTTTGAAGACGATCCTCCCTTACTTTATTTTGTTTTAGTCGAAATAATCCAAAGAGCTGTACTGTTTTAAAAATAAAATAGGAAAATCTCGTAAAAGCATGCTTCTACTTCATTATTTTACTAAGTAAGTTTTAACCACTACTCCAAAAAAAGCTTTCATTTATTTTAAAATTCAATTATAATTCACAAATCTTGAATCATTATTAATAAGGTAACAAATAATTATTTAAAATGAACCAACTTATATTTCAGATTTATGACTTTATGATTTTCTGCAAGCGTTTCTCCGTTCATGCATTTAGTTTTTATGATAACGCAAAAATAGCATTAAGAAGTTCGAATCATCAGTTAAAACTCTTCCAGTTATATTATTGAGACCATTAGCTACCATCCCTCAGATATTTCGAGAAGTGAAAATGCGAATCCGTTTAAAAAAATTTTTAAAAATACAGAAGAAGTACGTTTTTGTGTCGGATTTTATAAAGTTAAATTAGCATTCGCTTTAGCTAATTGGCATATTTTAACTATTGAAATATTATGGTAGTACCAAATGAGGGAGGGGTTTGTGCTTTGCTTATTTTTGCTGATAAAGGGGAGGTCGAGTTCATAAATATTCTTATGTAATATTTGAACAGCCCTTTAACAGGCATCTCAAACCATAAGAGTAATAAACAATTATGAGTAATTATTTTTGAGTGAAATTATCATTGGATAAAAGAGTCCTACAGAAAATGAAAATCACTATTTTCAAATTGCACCTATAACTTCCTTTTATTTAATTGATAAAAATCTGGATCCATAAAAAAAGGAAGAAGTGAGTTTTTGTTATAAATTTTATAACTTAAATTATCATATGAACTTGTTTTATGGTGAATTGCAGGCGGACTCCTCTATTGCAGAGGAGTACGTTACATAGACTCATCAATTGCACTGGAATACCTAAGGCAGACTCCTCAATTGCACGGGAGTACGTTAGGCGAACTCCTCAACTACACTGGAGTACCTTAGACGGACCCGCATGCCGAACACTCCCAACGTAATAAATGGTGACTGATGCACGTTAAATTTCTCGAGTCACACAGTCCTCCATGTTCCCATAACAAATCAAACCTCTGGGTGTACTGATCCAGGAGTTTTCTTGTCTTCTGGATTGGTTCAAAATTACAAAGCTACAGAGTTGAACATTAGTAGTCGTAAACCCAAAATTGGGTCGGCTGCTCAACGACGGTTATAAAAAAATACATATACTTTAGGCGAACTCCGCAATTGAACTGAAATGACTCCTCAATTGCACGGGAGTACGTTAGGCGGATTCTTCAAATGCACCGGAATACCTTAGGTGGACTCCTCAATTGAACTGGAATACCTTAGGTAGACTCCTCAATTGCACTGGAGTATCTTAGGAGGGCTCAGCTGGTTCCTTAATTGCAAGTTAGCATGTAAAAAGGGGAAGTAAGATTTTGTTTTAAATTCTATAAATTATCCTATGCACTAGTTTTATAGAGAATTGTAGGCGAACTCCTCAATTGAACTGAAATGACTCCTCAATTGCGCGGAAGTACGTTAGGCGGATTCTTCAAATGCACCGGAATACCTAAGGTGGACTCAATTGAACTGGAATACCTTAGGTTTAGGTAGACTCCTCAATTGCACTGGAGTATCTTAGGAGGGCTCAGTTACTACTTCAATTGCAAGTTCGTATGTAAAAAAGGGGGAGTAAGATTTTGTTTTAAATTCTATAACCTAAATTATCCTATGTACTAGTTTTATAGAAAATTGTAGACGAACGTACTAGTTTTATAGAAAATTGTAGACGAACTCCTCAATTGAACTGGAATGATTCCTCAATTACACGGAAATACGTTAAGCGGACTCTTCAAATGTACCGGAATACATTAGGTGGACTCCTCAATTGAACTGGAATACCTTAGGTAGACTCCTCAATTGCACTGGAGTATCCTAGGAGGGCACAGCTGGTTCCTCAATTGCAAGTTAGTATGTAAAAAAGGGGAAGAAAGTTTTTGTTTTAAATTCTATAACCTAAATTATCCTATGCACTAGTTTCATAGAGAATTGTAGGCGAACTCATTTGAACTAAAATGACTCCTCAATTGCACGGGAGTACGTTAGGCGGACTCTTCAAATGCACCGGAATACCTTAGGTGAACTCATAAATTAAACTGGAATACCTTAGGTAGACTCCTCAATTGCACTGAAGTATCTTAGGAGGGCTCCGCTGGTTCCTCAATTGTACGTTAGTATGTAAAAATAATTTTTAAAAAGTTAGAAATGCTATCTTACTCCATCCTTCAAGCTAAATACAAACTTCGCTTTTCATATACTATTCTTTTTATAATTAACTGTACTATAATTTAATTTCGATGTTTCGACACACTTAAAAAAATCGAGCAATGAATTACAAAGTTTTAATAAGTATTTTTGTCATTCTTACATAAAATATTTTACAAAAAACAAAGATGAGAAATAGTTCAAGCAATGACGCAATACATATAACAAATTTATTAAAATAATTTGAAAATTTTTTAAACAATATCTTCATATACGTAATACTGACAAATTTTAAAACTTTAGAAAAAATAGTAAAAAAAAAGTTTTATAAGTTAGGACAAAAAATAATAGAATATACTTAATATTGTATTATTATTTGTCCCTTCTGACTAATATTATTTAAGATGAAACAATCATATAATACTGACATACTTCAGAAGAAAATAAAGACAAAATTTCAAACACAACAAAACATTAAAAATATACAAGTGAATATAAAATGGTAAAAAATATTTCAAGGAATAAAAAATTTCCAAAAATCGTAGTTTAAAAAATCATTACAAATCATGGAATAATAAAAAATAATACTAAGTATTATAACTTTAAAAAAAATACACACACATAAGTAAAAAAAATACACACACACAAATTATACACATAGTTTTCTGTACTTATAAACTAAAAATAATAGAATATAAAATCAATTATTTTTAAGAAAATGTGGATACATGAACATATTTATTTTACACATAATTATTAATCAGAATTTCAAATATACAAGGTGCTCTTTAATTACAAGCAGCATTGAGTTTTTAATTTAACTAGTATAAAATTCAATAAGAGTCAGTGTTGTTTCTTTGGCATGTGCAAAATGCAGTCCTATAACTTGGATTTTCCATATAGTCAAGAATTTAAGAAGGCAGGTTTTTCTTTGAAAAAACTCCAGAGTCGTTTTGGATCATCTTTAATGTTTCTAATAAAAAATGCTAAGCGATTGTGAATATTGGTAGCTTGTTGTTCATTCAATTTCTCAAGCAAGTTATACTTCTTGTTGAACATGTAAGTTATTTTTCTTTGTGAAACAGCAGTATCAAGTTTTTGGAGTGCCTAAAATAAAGTAATAAGACATATTAAATAAATTATTTCAAGTAAACTGAAACGGTTAAGATATTGCTTGATTAAAAAACTTCATTCGTTCAAAAAATATACAAATTGGAAGCAACAATCGACGTCATTCAAGCGCTTAAAAAATAGGCGCCATTTTTATAGACTTGCAAAACGTGAATGATAAAAAACGAAAGCGATTTGAAACAAAACGTAAAGTTGCCAACGAAAATTAGAAAAATGAAGGTGCGAAAAAACCACAATCGCTCAGAGACAAGTCTTGAAACATTTCGTTAGGTTCGTATATTTACTTACAGCAATTGCAAATTTTTTAACAAAATGTTCCTTTTTTGTGGAAAAGAAATATATATATGTAACAATTGGGTGAATTGCATCATCTACTTCCTCATTGAAAGACGCCAGCCTGGCCAGGAGGGAAAGCTCCGGTATCCACGGTGCCATAGAGTCCAGACGGGAAAAGTCCCGAATAAATTAAATAACTCTTTTCCATAGGACAGTGTTTCCCAAAGTGTGGTACGCGTACCCCCAGGGGTACGGGAACAGTTTAGCGGGGGTACGCGTTCTTATGCGAAATATCTTACAACAAACGAAAATTTCAAAAATTTTTATTTAGAAACAAAGTTAGCCATGAAAATTTACGATTACGTATTTTTCTATTGGCTATTTTTTGCAGAGTTAACAGTTAATAATTAGTGGTGTTCACAGCCAGTTGTGATTTTTAACTTTTGTGCAATTTTTTCGTAGTAAAAAATACATTCATTTTTAATATAGTGGTACACAGCGTTACGAAAAATTTAGAAAGGGTACACACAGATCATAAGTTTGGGAAACACTGCCATAGGACAATCCGATTTAGCATTCATTCTTGATCCGGCAACATTGCGTGTAGGCAACTTTCACTGGTCATGATATCGCTGTTAAACTTATATTCTTTTTTAAAAGTTTCCTTATAAAACAATTGTTTTTTTTCTCTCTCTCTCTCTCTCTCTCTATATATATATATATATATATATAGNTATAATGAATGAGGAGCAATAATGGGGGTTGGTGAGCGAAACTGCTTACTTTATATTAAAGAAAAAACTGTGAAACCTCTCGGGAGCGACCACTCTCTGTCCCACAGTAAAAAGGCCGTTAATGGAAGTTGGTCGTTCTTAGGGGTTACCTTCATTAACTTCAAAATGTTATCGAAGGTGCATGATTTTTCACGAATGATTTTAATTTTATTCAGTGTCATTTTCTTTGTGCAGAAATACCACTTCTGTTGGAGTAATGTAAACCGATCGATGAATGAACTTTAGCGTCAATAAAAATTATGTTTACTCATATAATTATGTGCAAAAACTAATTAACCGATTATGAATGATAGAGTTTCAATAAATAAACAATTACGTTTTTTGTTTAAGTTTGCATTTAATTTTATATCATAAAAATTAGTTAACTTTAAAGCTTGTACGTTTAAAATGCTTAGGTTTTCCTAAAATAACTTTTTTTCTGATTAATTTTCTACTCTAAAAATAAATCATTGATAGCATCGTCTTTAGTGCCCTCTGACTGCAATATTGAGGTTGTAGATCCCGTGTAGACTAGAGAAATATGAATGAGCCAATCAAAATTATTTCGAATACATTTTAATTTATTTATTTGTTCTGTCAATATTTTTTCGTGTTTCCTTAATTAATCTTTTCCGAATTTGGTGCGAAGGATTGCCCGATCCCTGGGAGATGTTTTCATGGTCTCTCCTAAAGATTTGTTTCACTAAGTCTATGCAAAAAAATTCCGTGCCTCCCAAAAGTGGACGTAAATTGAGGAGGTAGTTACATAAGTGGTCTTTCATGGAGGTTTTACTGTAATAAAAAAAAACGTTAAATAAAATTAAGAGTTATGTTTATTTTATAATTAAAGCATTTTCATGGAATAATTGCATAAAACAAACAATAAATAACAAAAAGTCAATTAGATTAACAAGTTTTAATACTTCAAGAAAACGTTCCTCCATTTTGCTTTCTTTCCAATAATCTTGTTTACCATTGCTTTCTAAAACCTAAACCTTCTAAAAACCTTTCTTTTTAAATAATTGCATAAAACAAACACTAAATAACAAAAAGTCAATTAGATTAACAAGTTTTAATGCTTCAAGAAAACGTTCATCCATTTTGTCTTCTTTCCAGTAGTCTTGTTTACCATTGCTTTCTAAAACCATCCACATAACGACAGTTTTCAAGTAATAAGAGGCCAAACATTTCCAGTCTTCTTTATCTCTCAGTAGCTAAAAAATTATAATAAAACATACTAAAACAACAGTATTCCTAAAACTCAAGAATACTATTTAAGGCCGGGATAGATTGGTTGGTAGGGCACTGGACCCATGTCCAAGAGTTCAAGGGTTCGATCCCAGCCGTCTGAAGACTCCCCGTGTAGTAACTGGTGACTGATGCACGTTAAATCTGTCGAGTCGCAAAGTCCTCCATGTTCTCATACAAATCAATACCTCTTGGGGTACTGATCCAGGAGTTTCCTTGTCTTTTGGATTGGTTCAAAATTACAAGACTACGTAGTTGAACATTAGTAGTCGTTTACCCAAACTTGGGTCGGCTGTTCAACGACGGATATAAAAGAAAAAATAATATTTAATACTCATTTGAAGACGGAAATATCCGGGCCGTGGTAGCCCAATGATTAGACAATCGGACTTAATTTACTGAAGTCAGTGTAATGGCTGGCTAGCTTGGCTTGTCCAAGTGTCAGTAAAAACAACAGAAATTATCAAATCATTAAAAAGTTTAAAATGTTAAAAAAAAACTACTTCGTTATTAAATTTCTTTTTAGTCCTTAAATTCCAAAATAATGTTATACTTTGTATCAAATATAGAAAATATTTCTCGAAGTTATTAATTTTTATTTGAAAAACCATTTTGGGACTTGTAAAGTTAGATCTCATCATTCGGCTTCGATGAGAGAACCATATAAGATTTCTTTTGAAATTTTCCTCATAATTGTCTCTCCAACTGTGAATTAATAACCACTTATGAGTTGCCCATCTGTGGTTTGGTGTAAAACACCACGGATTTTATTTAGGCAATGAGATAGATTTATTTTTTTTTGCTTTTATCTAGAAGTAGTTTCATAAACCTTTCAATTATTGAACAAGGACCAGTATTAAGGGGTAGTTTGGCACTGTTTTCAGATAAGGAAAATATTGCCTACATTAACCTCAAGTTCTGCAGCGATACAATGTGCGTAACTGCAGCTCTTAAGAGGACGTTATACCAAGAGAGAAACTTTTCGTCGCAAATTCTCTTTCACCGTCATTACTACTTCAAAATTAAACAGAAAGAAAAAGTGAGTTGAGGCACACCTAAAGAAAGACACGAAGTTTCAATTTCTGAAATAATTTGTTTTTTAAATATCAAAATGCAAAAAAATTATTGGATGAGAACTTCTTCTTTGCGTAATCCAAAAGTTATATTCTCATAATTTTCGTTTCGATACTTTAAAAATTTCTTTTTTGTATTTGAAACTTCATGGTATACTTTAGGTTTGAACTAACTTTTTTTATACTTTAAATTTTAAACAACTTATGAAGGTGAAACTTCATAACTTTTCAATCTCTTCAGAGAATCAGCGACGAAAAGTTTCTCCTGTGGTATGGCGTCTTCTCTGCGATTCTTTGACTAATGCCAAGTTTAAGGAAAGGGGTCGAATTTGTTACCATTGAACCGGTAATTAAGATTATCAAACACATCTCATTTTTATTTTTTTGATCTGACATTTATTTATTGAGATACCTCCAATTAAAATGATTTTTACCCATTTTCGTTTAACGATTGCCGCGCCATCTATTAATTAAATAAAAACTGTAATCAAATTGAGGTATTTTTTTCTGAAAAAGCGATATCTGCAATAAAAAAAGAGGTTCTTACCTAAGATTTCGGGGCTCTTGGCATTTCCGGCAAAATTAAATTCCTAGTGCACTTTAGCATCCAAATAGAGTCTCGGTGCTGCCATCTAGTGTGGCAGAAACTAGACGTCCAAATTAACATGACCAACGGTATCTCACCCATTGTGGTGGTCCTGAAAGAGTGGATACCACCTCTGGAGAACGCACTATGTCTGCTCATCGGCAAGAGCGATTGTGCAGCTCATTGGAAATAATAAAAAAACCTAAGATTTCAAAGATACCTACGGGTATTGAGATAAGGGATATAGTTTGGTATAACTGAATGCCTCTTTTAAAAAATATCTCACGCGTCTTTTCTTTATATTTTTGATCCGGTGAGTGCATTTGCAATGTACCTAAGTTAGTAACGAGCGAAGCGATCTTGGTACGCGAAGCAAACCATATAAGATTGCGTAGCAATTTTCGGGGGTTGGCGAGCGTTAGCGAGCAGGGGGCGCAGCCCACTAGTATGTTTAATAAAAATTCTGTGTCAAAGGGTTAAAGAATTATTAAAGAGAATCGACTATGTGCATCTCTAGCCGTACGGGAGAGTACGAAAACTAACATAAATTTGCAAAATCTCCCTATTGTCGGTCCCGTAATTTTATGCTTTTACAATTTAAATTCAATCTAACGAAAGCAACATTGCTTTTGTGACAGTTCATTCTAGTATGTTGAGGCAGCCTTATGAATGGTTGATTAAATGTAAAAATAATCGGTTAAAAATTTAGAAAACTTCCTATGTATCCTTCCGCTTATGCTTCGCTTACGAGGCGAAGAGTGAACAGGCTTAATGTTCTGGGAAATTTATATTTACGAGTAATTTTACCATTCATGAAAGTTTCAGTAATTTATAAATTCTAACAGGCCGTAAGCCAAAAATAAATTTTCGAAAAATTATGTTACAACATACATAAAGCGTAAAGTTTTATTTTATAACCGTCGTTGTGTGAACAGCCGAACCAATTTAGGGTTTACGACTTCTAGTGTTCAACTCCGTAGTCTTGTCGTTTTTAACCCAATCCAGAAGATAAGGGAATTCTTGGAACAGGTATTGAAAAAAATTGCCTTTGTAGAGTACTTTTTGATGGAACTAACCAGCATTTACTCTACATGGAGAGGAAAACCTCGAGGACCTCCCATGATTAGTCTGATGGCAAGGGGACTCTAACCCATGATACGTCAATCACTTAGGATATTTTACGTCAGCACTGCTGTTCGTGTGAACCGGGTGCGGAATTCGTATGGACCAGAGCCATCGCTGGGATTCGAACCTGGTTCACCTCGTTGGGAGGCGAACGCTCTGTAAAAACTTTGAAATTTTGTCACAAAGACTAGTAGCCTGCATCTTGAAATCATTTATTCAAAAAACTATTGATGCACATCACAGACATATAAAAATATTAGCAAAGATACATCATTTAAAGAAAATCGCCATCCATCTTTATTTACTCTCGACTCCTCTTCTCTTTAGGAATAAAAGAAAGGTAAAAGAAAGTTTTCTGCGCCATCTAGTGGCCATTTTCTTACAGCTCTATCCCCAGAGCCACCGTGGCTAAAGCGAAAGGTTTGCCATGTTCTGAGTGTTATCCCTTATTTAGCTATATTTGTGTAAAATGTCGCCGTTTGTTAATTATAGATAGCTTCACAGCATGCTTGCGGAGTTTTCCGAATTCATTTGTTGCTTGTTTTATTGAACGTTAAACTGAAAGAACGCGTTATATTGTTCACACAACAGTTGGAAGACTTAAAACGAATTTTTATTCTCAACGCCATTAGACGAATTATTCCTTTTATTATTATAGATTCTATACAACGAACGGAAATTCAGCTAGCATTTAATAAATATAAAAATCAAAGTAGCACCAGAAAACTAGTAAAATTAAAGTCACGACTTGTTCACCAATGATATTCAAATCAATTAATTCGAAACTAATTAGTTTTCAACACCAATCATTTTATTAGTAATGTTTATATCAACCAATTAAGTTCTTTATTTTATTGGGAGGGAATTCGCATTATATATACAATTCAAAATATTAGGTTCAATACAAATCAGTGTTGTTTCATAAGTTCATAAGTCATTCTTTAAACTCGGATATTCCATTGCAGATGAAGTCTTAGAATAGAGGTGTTTCTTGGAAAATACTCCAGAGGAAACGTGGATTTTCGTTTATTTTTCTGATAAAATAAACTAAACGACAATGAATATTAAAAGCTTGAGCATCATTTAATTTCTCCAGCAAGTTGTACTTCTTGTTGAAGAGGTAAGTTATTCTCTTCTGCTCAACGGCTCTGTCCAGTTTTTGAAGAGCCTAAAATGAAAACAGAATTATTGAAAATAATACATATGCAAGTCTGAATGACACGTTTGAATTGAATAAGTTAAGACGCACGGTGTATCTAATACACGCTTGAATTTAATGAGTATCTAAGACACATGTGAGTTTAATGAGTATCTAAGACACACTTGAATTTAATTAGTATTTAAGACACGCTTCAATTGAATAAATTTTGAAGACACGTTTCAATTGAATAAGTATCTGACGCACACTTAAACTGAATAAAATATGGAAAGCACGCTTGAATTTAATGAGTATCTAAGACACGATTGAGTTTAATGAGTATCTAAGTCATGCCTGCATTTAATGAGTATTTAAGACACACTTTAATTGAATAAGTTTTGAAGACACGTTTTAATTGAATAAGTACCTGAGGTTCACTTGAACCGAATAAAATATAGAAAGCACGCTTGAATTTAATGAGTATCTAAGACACGATTGAGTTTAATGAGTATCTAAGTCATGCCTGCATTTAATGAGTATTTAAGACACACTTTAATTGAATAAGTTTTGAAGACACGTTTCAATTGAATAAGTTTTGAAGACACGTTTCAATTGAATAAGTACCTGAGGTTCACTTGAATTGAATAAAATATAGAAAGCACGCTTGAATTTAATGAGTATCTAAGACACGCTCGAAATGAAGTATAGAAGACACTTTTGAGTTGAATTTGTATCTAAGATGCGTTTGAATTGAATAAACATCTAAGTTGCGAATTTATTTGAATAAGTATC